TATCACATTCCCAACCACAAGAAAAAAGTTAGTAATAGGGATGTTCTTCTTTGCCACAGCCACAAGCGCAAGTTGGAGTTGATAAGCAAAACAATGAATGTAAAAGGCACATGGACTCTCCTTCAAAATGAGTGTTTTCAGACCATTAAACTTAATTTACATATTACTTGCTCCATCATAACCTTGTCCTCTCAATCTAGACATGCTCAAGTTATATCTACAAAATACCTTATCAATTACAGTCTTAAATGATAGAGCTGTGGTACTTGTAACATGTTCAATCCCTATGAAGCGTTCATTGACATGCCCACTATTGTCTACATAACATAAAACAATAGATATTTGCTCCTTCATTAACACATCACAAGATTCATCAACTAGAATAGAAAATAGTGAATCGCCAACATCTTTGATAATAGCATTGATCATTTCAATAGCACAAGCATTTACTATATCCTTTTGAACATTAGGTGATGTCAATTTGCAATTGTGAGGAGCATTTCCCAATGTGACGGCATTAATAACTTCATTATAAGCAGCCAAAAATTGCAATTGCACTAAGAAGTTACTTGGATTGAGAGAATCCTCAGATTTATCATAACCTCGAAATGAGTGCCCTTGTCGCAAAAGAACTCGAAAACAATCAATGGATGCATTAAGACGTGTAACATATGCATTTCTTGCTTGTTTTGACTGTCTGTAGAAAACTGATTGAATGTGTTGCTCTTGATTCATCAACACTTTACACATAATGCGAGCTTGATTATGTGAACTATCATGAAGTCCAACATGAGTATGAAACCTTTTTTTATCTTTCCAATATGTAAAACCTTCGCCAACAAAAGATTCACCTCCACCCTGCTTTCCAGAACTTGTTCTGAAAAGATAACAATACAAACAATAAGTAGCATCCTTCTCTACACTGTACTCCAACCAACTACTGAACTCTTTAAACCACGAAGGATTGAATCGTCTAATTGTTACTCCAAATTGTCGTTTTGGAAAGTTATGATCTTGGGGTTGACAAGGACCCTTTAACATATATGTTTTTCAAACTTCATCTTGGATGTTAGCATTGTAATCCAAAATGGGTATCCTTAGACCAGGATCAGTTGGAAGTTTTGTGACATCAAACTCCACATCATTCGATACCCCCTCATCAATATTATCTACGTTCCTTTTTCGTTGAAAGTATCTATTCATTTGATATCTGGATTTAAACATTTGATATCCAATTATTACTTGAAGTGAGTGAGAATAATCCATAATGACAAAAGGATCATAAATTCACAATTTCAATTCGCAGTGCAATTCTCAATTCGCAGTGCAATTCACAATTTCACATTATCAATCCAATTTCACAATATCAATTCACCTTCCAATCCGTTATAAACCATCGATCATTCCTCATGGTCATTTACTAACCTATCATATCCCAAATGCCTTCCAACAGACAACAATTCAATTCAATTCTTTTTAATATGAATAACTCATATTAGTTGATAACAATGCTACAACAACATATGCTGCCAGGTTTATTTTTGTATTTAAGTGATTCAGTACCTGGAAAGGTCTAATGAGCGAGTGCAGCACCGTTACAGCATTGATTGTTCCCCTATTGCAGATCCGATCCCTGTCCTCAATGACCCACCTAAGCTCTGGTACGAGAAATATATGGAGAACTGGAGAAGGCTGTCAAAAAAATTCAGCAAATTACATTTATTAATTTATTATGATCCAAAAATTGATGACAATCTAACTTCAAAATTGCCAAAAACAGTTACTATCTTCTTTCCAGGGGACTCAATTTTTAAATTCAGATCTTAACTTCAACTGGAATTAGAAAGATGAACTTATTCAATTTCTCTACACCTAACAGCATTTCCAATTCCACAATAGAAATATAAACCCATGATCCACCTATAATTAACCAGTAAGATTCATAAATTAAGCAGAACTGTAAATACAAATTTCAATTTTCAGAATTTTCCACACTCCATCTTCACTGAAATATACAGTAGGTAAGTAAGGTAACCTTCAATCACCTTCTTAGTTCTTCGTTCTTCTGGGCTCCGGCTTCGGATTTCTCCAATCTCCAGTGAATCAGTTCTTTTTCCGTTGGGCAGCTTGGGCTGGCAGACGCAGTGGCAGGTGGCGTCGTGGCAACTGGCGGTGGACTGGAAGTCTGAAACTGTCAGTCCAGAAGTCGCCAGTTGGCGCCTTCGAGTTGGAGTAGCAACTGGCGAAAAGCAGGCGATGGCGGAGGGTCGACAGGTCGAGAGAGACACGATTCAAGTTGCAACTTGTAAGGGTTTGGTAATGGTTATGAATTGAACGAAATTGGGTTAATTTATTCAAGATTTTGGGTCGGGTCAGTAAACGGTCCTTGGGCCTTTTTGATTAACCAGGCTTTACCCAAAAAAATTTTTTTGTTTTGGGCCTACTGGAGCCCAAAAGTTCAGTGCGGGCATCTGCCCACACTGGACCTAATAGGGCTTCGCCCCTGCTTGTGAATGGCCTGTTTTCAGAGAGTTGGCTTGTGAAAATTCCTGAGAACGAAAGCAATTTTATGTAATTAAATAAACAATAGATATTTGAAGTTTGTGTTGAATAAATGCATGACAGTGTGTATTCTTCATTTGCAACTCAATAATGTGTAATTATTAATAAATGAAGTTGAACATTTGTTCGATTTCAAGAAAGTCAAGATTATGTGGATATTTCAATGAACAAAAGGCAGTTTTCTAATTATTTGCTGGCCAAATAAGATTTTGAACTTTTTTTATAACTCAAATTTGTTAGAAAGGAAACTTAGTTTGTTATTACAGAAAAAATGCAGTTATATTATGTGTAAATGATAAGTAGGGTGGTTGGTTGCCGGCGGTGGTGGAAAGGTGGGTGAGAAAAATCGATTCCACTACAGGTATAGGGAACCATTTACCGAACCGGTACAGGATTTTAAAAATGCTGACATGGCATGACCTTGTTAAATATAAAAAAAAAAAGGGAAATAACGAGACGAGACTCAAAAGGGGGGAAGTGAAACGTTCTCCCCCCACTCCAACACCAACACCAACCGACATCTTGCTTGGAGCCCTAAGTCGCCGACATCTTAACCCAACACTAATCGAAGCTCAACCGGCCGTCGCACTAGCCCAGGGATAGTGAAATCAATCGGTGCCCAACCCTGAAGTTCATACCAGTGGCGAAGCAGCGATGAAGGCAAACCTGGAGATGGTGAAATCACCCCTACAAATCTTAACTGAACTTGAAATCGACGATCGCACTACCTCCCCCTCAGTTCAGTGACGAAGCAGCGAAGAATGTCAAAAGTGTCTCCTCCGATAGAATCTGCTGCAAAAGTTCGGTAAGTGGGTTCTATTTACACTATTGGGCATATCTATACTTGGTTTATGCAGTTGTATTGATGTTGTTGGTTGAGGGGGTATGTGAAAGGATTTCACCATTATTTTCTTTTGTAATACTCAAAGGATCCTAATAGTATGGGCATATGTATACTTGGATTACGTTTAGAATTCTATCAAAGGACACAGATACACTACAAGTATTTTTCTAATTTTCAAGTTACGAGACTTTGAGATAGTTGCCCATACTATTAGTTTATTCTTGTAAGATACATCTGTGCTGCGATTGCGATCTCAATTATAAGCTTTTATATTAAAAGAAATGTGTTTGTGGAATTTAAAATCTTGAAGGTGACCACTAATGCCCTTTTGTAATACTGAAAGTTAAAACTAAACTTCATTTTTTTCGATTAAACAGAATGTTTTCGTTTTTGTTTCATCCTCAAACCCCCCACAATTAGGATTCACATTGTGTCATTTGCAATCATCCAGTAGAATGAGAGGAAGAAACTTTGGAGTTTGTCATGGATGTAGAAGCAACACTCAATATTTCAGACAATGCCAATCAAAATAACGATGCCTTAGTTGTGATCACGGATATCAAAAATGTTTTGAGGTCAAACGGGATACCGGTAACAAAGGACATTTGTTCTTCACATGTAGCAATGAGTGCGGATACTTTGATTGGGTGAAAGATGAAGTCTTAGGCGAGGAATCGAGTTCCATTAATTATTCGGTGAATCATGCACCCAACAAGGAAGACAAAGAGTTGCGAACGCTGTTTGATGGACTAGCTAGAATTAGCAAGAAACGAGGCATCGACATATCACTCAAGCTGACTTTCAGCAAGGGAAAAGATATTGCCAAATGTGATGAGCAAGGAAAGGGGTCGAGTTGAAGGGTTTATTTATGTATGTGGTTGACGAATTGATATCCTTGTTCTCATGTACAAATGTGGTACTTCCACTTTGACATTGTTTCCCAGTGTATGTAATTAGGTGCTTGCAACATCCTATATACTATTTGCAATAATATAAGTAATTCCAAGTAATTTTATTTGTTCATAACTTTCCAATACCATTCATAACTCCAGCATCTCATCGAAACAACTAAAAAACCTCTAGTATTAACCAAGCAAGCAACGTTCCATAATTATGCCAGACACTTTGAATGTCTTCATAAATTTCACAGATTTGGATCTAAACAAAAATGAGCAAATGGTAGAGTAGGCCAAACTCCATAATGTCATTTAGATACATCAAAAACAATTTAGGAGTCCCCACCAAAAATACAAACATCCACTAACATCTTTTGAATTATTTCTCTAAGTGTGTATTGTATGGGAACTTATAAAATAACAAAACAAATGAAAGGCATCGTAGTTCGCACGAAAGCACGCCTTGAAGGAGAGGCTCCGTTTCCTTTCTCATCTCCACCAATTTAAAAATGCTTGCACCTTTGTAAGGCTAATGAAGATAAAACAATTGTCAACATCACTAATATGTTTGATACAGAAAATTAAATACTTACATATATATAAACCTTTGGAATACAAAAACCCTCCGAACGAGAATCACAAGCTGGTGCCGCCTTTATCGGGCAAATGTGAATATGATTATGGCATGACTAGACCTGTTTTCTAAAGTGAAAATGTAGGCAAAAATGCCTATAATAAATCTGTTGTGTACTTGATGTAAAGGAATGCTCATGAATATAGGAGAAGCTAACAATTTGTCATCGCCGAAGTTTTACAAATGCCTATAATAAAGCTATAGGAATTCATTTCTTCCTCTAAACATAGATATCTTATTGCAATATAATTATGGAATCTCATCAGATAAAGGATGTTGCGAGAATGTATTTAACTTGTACTTCCTCATTCTCACGACTCCATTGTGTACTTGATGTACAATTTCTCTCTTTTACACAAAAAATTGTGTCACAGGACTTTATCGTGAATTTTTCCCATCATTATCATGTAAGTCGTACGTTTTGAGTATCAACCTCCAACCTTCTTCGAATTCCTGACCATTTTCAAAATCATAGACCAATCCATGAATTGCAGAAAATATGGAGCTCTTATGAACGCAATATCCGAACTTTTCTGGCAACTTTTTTATAATATGCCACAGACACCATCTATGCTTCGTGTTAAAAAATTAATTTTGATTGCATTTTGCATTGCCTGGTCTTGATCAATAATGATGCCATTAGGAGCTTGTCCATGCATGCACTCAAGCCATATTCTGAACAACCACACAAAAGTCCTGGTGTCCTCATTCGATATCAGTCTGCAGCCCAACGGTGTGGATTGTCCATGATGATTCACCCCAACAAAAGGGACGAACGGCATGTCATACTTATTTGTCAAATATGTTGTATCGAAAGTGAACACATCATCTAACTCTTTGTAAGACTGCCCACATCTGTGATCTGCCCAGAAAACATTCTGTAGCCTACATTCCTCATCTAAGTCCATGCTAAAGTAAAATCTTGAGTACCGTGCTTGCATCTTTGAAAAGTACGCCTGTATTG